GCTGCCCCCTCCCTGGAGGTGTTCAAGGCCAAGTTGGGCAGAGCCTTGGTTATACTGATGTAGTTGAGAGGCGTCCCTGCCCATGACAGGGAGGTTGGATTAGATGATCTTGAAGGTCCATTCCAGCCTAGGCCATTCTGTGATTCTGTGAAATGCATCTGTATTCAGGCTAGAGAAGAGAAGACTCAGGAGGATCTAACCAGAGTCTTGCAATATGTAAAAGATAGTCCTAGAGCAGATGGAAGTACTCTTGTCATGAGGATACCTGGTGATAAGACAAGGGGCAAAGGGCACAAGGGGGAAATTCCATAATTCCAAACAGTATAACAGAAATAGGTTGCCTAGAAAAGTAGTAGATTCTCCGTCACTGGAAATACTCAACCTTTGTCTTGTTAAAGCCCTGAGGCCCTACTTTCAACAGAAGATTGGACTGGATGATTTCCAGATGTCCCTTCAAGCTACACCCTTCTATGAATCTGTTTCAAAATAAGTGGACAGCAGTGGATTTAATTAGCCTGTTCTTATTAACACATTTACTAAGCATGGATAGAACTGGTGTGCTCAAGGGCAGATAATTCCAGAAACATGCCACTGACAGGGTATTTGTTTTGCTAGCAAAATCAATTTTTTATGTCTAAAGCTGTAAGAATACTAACATTCATTTTTCTGAACGTTTTTTAATCCCTCTAATGAACTTGATTTCTTTCTGTATATTGGTTTCATAGCACTGGGCTATTATATGGTTTTGTGTCTAAATAGAGATGCAAAGATTAATCTGTAGCTGACAGATATCCTGTATGCACAAAATAAGATAAAAAACCCCAAAACCAACAACAGTCTGTTCTTTATTTTCTTTTGCTTAGGAAAAAGTTCCTGCATATTTGGCAACATCTCCAATACCCACCGAAGACCAGTTTTTTAAAGACACTGACAATCATCTGAAATCGGGTGAAAATGAGAGGACATGTGCGAACTCAGAAATTCCACACTCTGTGGAAACAGAGACTGTTTTCACCCCTGGTTCTGTGAAAAAGAAAAAAAGAAGAAGAAAGAAATACAAACAAGATAGCAGGAAGGAAGATCAGATCTCTTCTACTGGGACGGAAGAGATTTTTGAAATGGAAATAAGCTCAGATGATGAAAAAAGTGTTCAGCCCCTAAGGTAAATGATCAGATACTTGCTGACTGCATTCACCATTATCACTGAACATTTAAAAGGTGACTTTTACCTTTGCTCTGTGCAAGTAATGCAGAAGTTTGAATAGGCTCTGGGGAGGCTTCTCCTCAAATGAATAAACAAAACTGCAAACCTTTATCTTCCACATCTTTACGGAATCCTTCAAGTTCAGTCATTTTATTATGAATGTGAAATCCAGTTCAGCCCATTGTGGTAAGGAATGTGTTTTCTAGAATGTCTGTGCCTTTCTTAGTTTATTTGTCTTATTTTTCACTATCATATTTATGTGGATGAGTTGTGATTTAGATATTCACTGGTCTGTTTAAGTCCGGGAATTGGCATTTTGTTTAAGATTTCTCTTTTTTTCCTTTTTTTCCCGTTTAAGAAAAGCAAGACTTTTGTTCAATCTTAAGTATGAAAGTATTAAGACAACAGTAACTTATTATAGTGAAACCGCAAAAAAAATAAAAATAACTATCAAGTACAGGAAGAAAGAAAATACAACCCATGAATTGTTTGTTTAATAAATTATTACAAATGAATGAAGCATTTAGGAATGTCATGCCAATAATGACTATTTTCATCCAGTGTTTAGAATCTTAATTTGACTAGGGATGAATAAAAAATTGTAGGTTAGACTAAAATGTCGGATGATTAGTCATAGCTGAACCAGACGATGGTGTTTCCATAAAGGTTACTCTGGTTTTACTTTTTATGCCCTTTAGAATGAAAGACTGAAAAGGCTTTTTATTTGTAAACCTTGTTATTTTTGTGTACCTATAAGCAGCAGAAATAAGCTCTCAGTCAGAGAAGCGTGTTGTGATGTGGAAGGAAGAAGATTTTGTAAAACAATGATGTTCTCTTGTGAATAGCAAGTAAATGTAGGACCGTAAAAACACATTGTAGCAATGGAAGCCTAGAGACAGTAGATTTGTGGCTATGTATCTGTGGAATTCGTATATGGTCATTCCATTTGCCTACCAAGGCAGGAAATGAAATCCATCTCCAAGTGTTCATACAACTTTAAAAAAATGCGTAATTTATCTTTTCTAGCTATGATTTAGATATGTTGACTTATGTAAAATAATTCCAGGAGGACTGAGATTACAGTGTTTGCAACTCAGAAATAGAGGGCGTTATTTCTCCAGTGCTAAAGGTGTTAAAGAGTTAAAGTAGTTATCTGTCTCTCAAGTCTTCATATGCGTGTTTAGACCAGGTATAAAGTGGATAAGAATGAGAAGAAGTGGTAGCGCTATTTTAAAATATTGCAAAATAGATAGCTTAGAATTGATAGTGCAACTTGAAGTTGTAAGTTGATGCACGCTGACTTTCCCCTCTTATTTTCAGTAGTCTCTGGCTGTATTTGAGTTTTTGGCTTCAGATTTATCCACTTCCATATGAAATTCGACTTTTTGCATGCTTCCCGTTCAGTCCCCATGTGTTGCCTGATCTAGTCGAGAGGTGGTGTCCCTGGCAGCAGGGAGGCTGGATTAAAATGATCTCTAAGGTCCCTTCCAGCTTAGGCCATTCTATGATTCTGTGATTCGTATGAATACATTTGGTCGCTGATTCCCTGTGAACAAAATCTAGGCAGTACCACTTGTGTGTCATCTTGCTCCCTCTGAAGTGATAGTATTGGGGACCTCTCTGTAAAAAAAAAAATTGTTATGTGCTTACTTAATTGTTCAATAATACCTTCTTTCTCTTTTGGAGATACTTAGCGTTGCATAGAGACAAAGATAATATGAAACACGTTTCTATCATAGTTAGCTTGGTTTATGAATACAAAGGATGTACAGTCTCTGCAGCTCGCATCTCAAGTCAATCTTAAGTCATCAAGTCCCATACGAATACTACTACTGAAGTAGAAGTGGAGCAATTAAGACAGTTTTAGGGTATTTAACATAGTCTAAGCTGTCCTTCAAATAAAGCATTTGTAAACTGTAACTGCTTAGGGCCTAATGATCTGCGTAAACATGTAAATTCTACATATTTATGTATTTTAATAGATAATGTTAAAATATTTTCTCTTTTCCATCCATAAGAGAAATTAGCAATAGCATTCCAAAACAAGGCCAGTGCAACCGTGTTGGTAATGGGAGAAGAATACTTTTTCATTTTTCTTTCCTAATAATGGCTTAAAATAATTAGTATTGCATTTTACACTCATATTCCAGGCTTATCTTCCTTGTATTCCATCCACTGTGTAGTCATGATGCCCTCAATCTAATCTCAGACAAATTTAGTTATATCCTGACAATATTTATATAATTAAATTAAAAAATCTGGAATTCTTATGGTAATGTTTGAAAGGGACTTTTATAGAAAATGTAGTATGTGCCTGCTTAATGGGTTGATTGGTCTTTTTTTTGTTGTTATAGATATTGAGTAGATTGTGCAAAAACAGAGCCCACTGTTCAGAAAAGTACAGTCCTTCTAACTACTTCTTGTAGTTTATGTTAATTTTTAACCTTTGTATGAATACCAAGGATGTACAGTCTCTGAAGTTCTCATCTCAAGTCGAGCTGTTAGCAAGTTTCATAAGAATACTGCTACTGAATAAGAAGTGGAGCTATTAAGACATTTTTAGAGTTCAGTATTTAACATGTGAACTGTGAAGCTGGAACCTAACCCTGGTTTTCTTAATTAATTTGTGAAATGTGCAGTCATAAAGTGCATTGTCAGAACTACCTTTCCATTCAACTTCTCCATTTATTCTAAGGTTTACATAGTAAAGGTTATGTGTAAATCTTTATGTTCGTCTTTGGGTTTTTGGTAATATTAGCTGGCTGTATAGTAATATCATTTATGTTATTGTGACTTACTCAGTATTAACTTGCTATATATCAAGAGTAGTAGAATTTTAAACTTGCAATATTTTCAAGTATTAATAATGGGGTTTAATATACATTTTTATATAAAGGGGTATTGTAAGGAATGTATCCTTTAAGCTATACATGCCTTTCTTTTGATTTTGGATTTTTAATGACATGTAAGTAACTTTTCTAACTGAATTAGTAGTACGGATTTATAGCTGACAGTGTCTCATGTATCTCCACAGAGGATCCTCAAATTCATCACCAAAGGGTGAAGAACAGAAAGAATCTTTACTTTATCACTCAAAGGACCATTACCCCTTATCTGATGGAGACTGGTCCCCCCTGGAGAAGTAAGTCACTTTGTAATGTCATCATATGTGTAACAGTGAATAATTCTAAAAAAAAGTTAATGTACCTTTTATTCATTTTCCCCTGATCTATAGAACTGTCAGACATGCCTAACTTACGATATTGAATGCAGCATACTATGAAGAAAAAACAATACAGTTAATAAGATTTCCTTAGGCTGGGAAGAATACGAAGAACAAGTATGTTCCCTGTGATTCATGCTAGCACAAGCAGCACTTGATAGCCCATGAAGCGGAAGTTTTGAGTATGTAAGTTAGATTTTGCAAGATGAAGTAATGCAAAGTATTTATGGTGAAGCTAGATTCTAGACTTGAATTACATTGCATTTCAGAGGATTTGCTAGTTGCTGGGGTTCTGGTGTCTCTGGTTCCCCAGAGATACTATCAGTTAATTGTGTTTTCTTACACATGGCAAATACAGCTCACCGGGTAGATTCCAGGTGCAGTGGCCGAGGCACTTGTGTTTATGCATTCGAACTCTCCCGTTTCTGATGTTCGTGCTATTGTATTTCTCTTGCGTTCAGTTTCTAGATTTTTCAAGGGTCACTCTCGATTTCAGCACTCTAACATCAATCCATATTGGCATAAGTAAGCATTCTGTTCATACGTGGTAGTATTTGCGGGAAGTTTTGTACTTTTCTGAATGTTAGACATAGGAAAAGGCATATATGTAGCACACAGAGTGCTGAGCAGTGTCTTAATGCATTGTAAGTCTTTAGTGAGTGCCTAGTTTCTCCAGTTTGACTGAGGAATCTGCCTTATAGCAGATAGATTCACAGCATTTGTGAGGATTACTGGTCATCTTTGTGTGGTACCCTTTGTTGCATGTTAGCTGCTCGTTGCACAGATGCCTGTTCTGCTATATCAATAGGTAGAAGCACAGAAAAGAAGAGCTTCAGAAATTATGTTTTGAAGTGCTTATAATCTGTTTTGGGTGTTCCCAGGGTTGTGGCCTCAGCAGGGTCTAAATATACCACACCATGCCTGGTGCCTGCTAGTTCCCCCAGTGCATAGCTTGTGAATGAACAGAAGCAGTTGGACAGGAAATCCCATTATCATTCCTTTTTACGTTTTGGGTCGGCAACCACATCCTCAATTGTACTGGATGAGGTACCATCTTCAAATATTCTCCAAAGGTTTGTTGTTTGTGACTGAAAAGCGGTCACAGTGTTTGACTCTGAGAATTGTCATGATGTTGTATGGATTTTATCACCTAGATAGTTGTAGCATAGAGGCTGATGCTCCTTTTCAGTTTATAAAATTCTAGCTAACATAGACTAGTAGACTGTGTCTGGGAGGTATGATTCATCCCTCTCTTCTTGTTTACATATTTAGGGGTTAATGTGCACTAGCAACTTGTTTGTGCATCATATGAGAAGCCTAGGCTCTTACGGTTTTGGGTTCGTTTTGTTGGGATTTTTTTAACAAGAAGCTATACAGTACAGATGGCAGTGTGTGTAACAGAAAAAGGCAATTTTCCTTTCCCTCCTTGGGGAGGGATGTTGAGTGGAGGATTGTCTCTCATGTGAACCGTCTAGGATAGGAAAATTTTTCATGAAATTTCTTCTCCTAAGGCATCAAAGAAAGTTTCTATAATGTAGCCATTCACTATACAAGTGAAAAATAAATGAGAGGTTTTAACAACCTCCTTTTTTTTGAGACCTGGAAAAGCTAACTGTCTTTTGGTGGAGGTTGGCTGTCTTGTTCTTCAGGACCATTGTAGGGAACTAAGGGGAGATAATGGCCTAAGTCTTTTCAGCGGGAACTCTTGTTTGTCCTACTCACTGGAATAAAAACAAAAAGCATTACCATTAACTATTTGATACCTGACACCGTCAGTGTTGTTCTTCCCATTTTAACAAGCAGTGTTAGCATGAATATATCACTATTACAAGCATGGACCTTTTGACTAAAGACTTCTCCCTGAGAACGATAATGGAAAACTTATACTTCAGGGGAAGGGGGAAGAAGCTTAGATTCTCAAAGCCCTGACCTATTCAATCTTTTGCAAGTAGAATATTAAGAATTAGGCTTAGGAACAGGGTAATATATCTATCATGGCTTCCAGTAGATTTGGCACATAGGGAAAATGAGTTCATATTCTTTGTGAAAACAAGTATGTACGTGTATTTTCATCCATGAAAATACCGTGAGAAGGGCTTACCCTTCTAATGGTACAGAAAATGTAATTTCTGTAGGAAGCTGTTAAAGGAGAACTGGGGAGCAGGAGGGAGGAACTCTAAGCAGTTTCCTTTTTGTATCTCTGGATGATGAAGGCTTGAAGTTGACAGTGTGGTGATGAATTGCCACTGTAGACATGTTTAAATAACCTGCTATCTTGGATTTTTTGGTGTCCCCCAGAGTAATATGGGGGATTATTACTATCTAGATTGTGATCTGATCTGTGTACTGCCTATTTTTAGTCTGAGTTGTGATCAGTTTAGTCTTGCATGATATAGCAAAACCCTGGCTCTGCAAACATTCAGAAAGTTTCAAATGTGATACTGCATTAAATAACTAATTCTTGGAGGAGTTCTGTAAGGGGGAAAAAATAAAAAAGGCCATAAATTAAATACCTGTAAGGTTTACAGTTGAATTTTCAGTAAATCATAGAACAGCCCAAGTTGGAAGGGACCTCAAAGGATAATCTGACCCAACCTTTCATGGGAAAGGGAGACTAGATAAAATTATCTAGCACTTTGTTCAGTCACAGATTGAAAACCTCTTGTGCTGGGAACCATGTCCCAGGAAAGATTGTTCCAGTGAATGGTTATTCTCACTGTAAAAAAAATTCTTTCGTATATCAAGATGAAACCTCATCTGGTGCAACGAGTGCAAAGGAAGTGTCTTGCACCTGGCGTGACATTACCAAAGAGCCCTGTACAGGCTCAGGTCTGTCTGGTTAGGGAGAGGCTTTGCTGAAAGAGACCTGGGGGTCCTGGTGGGCCACAAGCTGAACGTGAGTGAGCAGAGCACTGCTGCAGCATGAAGGCAAGTCACATCCTGGGCTCTAATCCCCTGAGACATTGCTAGCAGAGATGGAGATGTGATCATCCCACTCTACTCAGTACTGGTCAGATCTTGCCTGGTTCTGTGTCCAGTTCTGGTCCCCGCCATTCAAAATCAAATGTAGAGGTTTATATATATATTTTAAAAAAACCCAGCCAAACCAAAATATTCTATGAATGTCAAAGAGTAAATAGAGCAGCGTTTCTGTAATATGCGATATATTTGCTCTGTTGAAGAGAAGATAGACTTGGACCTGTCCCAACACTAAACGCTACTTCAGAACAACTGTTGTGTTTCCTTTCCTCCCTAAGATAGTAAGATCAAAATTATTTCGAAATCACGCCTTCCTGGCATGTTGTAAAGTGAGTTCTTCTAGCATAAAAGGAGTCTTGGCTAAAATAAATTTCAGGGGTCCGTTTCTAATTTATGAATAATAATGACTGTAGGAAAAATAGGATGAAAATTTAAAGAAGAAAGTTTTCTCCCCTCTCCTAGGTTGTCTTGTTAATGTTTTTCCCATGTTGGGATTGAGTGGTGTGTTCTGCATTTGTGAGTTAAGTTTGCAGGACTTTTGTTACTCAAGTCTTGGGATAGCAAGTTTAAATGCTATATTTTTACAAAGGAAAGGAATTTATGTCTTACTTTTAAATAACCTTTTTTTGGTTTGTTCTATTTTGCTTGAAAAATGGAACATGAGCTGAAGGGAGAGCTATACCTACACTGCAGATATAGTGGAGAAATCTGTTTAGGGTGATTGCTGTGTAAGTCCTTTAATGTGATTTTGGTTTTAACCTAATTTCTCACTGTCTGAAAACCTTGCTGGGCTTCTTGCCATGTTGCTGAATAATTGAAGCTCTGTTAAGCTGTAGAAAACTCTACCAACAGTAGCTGCATAACAAATGCATTTTAAACACTGGGGTTTTTTCGCTCTTGTTTTGCTAGCCCTTTTTCTGAGACAGTCTGCCCTAAAAGTGATTCAGAACTAGAAGTTAAACCTGCTGAGAGCTTGCTCAGATCTGAATCTCACATGGAATGGACATGGGGAGGATTCCCAGAATCAACGAAGGTAAATTTATTTATTGTCTCTAACTTTGTGAGCTGAGTTTTGTCATATCTTGTGTCCTGAGAGGGCTGGAAATGTACTTCTGTTCTGCAGAGTGATTCAGCTGAAATGGGGAAGTAGCGCCCCCGTGTGACTGGCAGTTGATGGTTGAATCTGTTGAGTTCAAAAGTTGGTCAGCAAATTCCAGAAAATATAACAGTAAAAATCTGATTTATTTTTTTTTTAGTTGGAAAGTGAAGAAAGCGACTTTAGAGATTTATTTCCTTTATTTTAGGCTAAGTTCTAGTTCATTCCAGAGGAATTGTAGCCTTGGTAGAGTAAATTTGGTATCTAAAGGGACAGCTGGTGATGTACCAGAAGTCCTGGTACATCCATATTTATGCTTTTTTCTAGCCATGACCTGGTCAAGTCACCACTTTCTTTACTGAACTTCTAAATAAACTAGTATGAAGCTTCTGTTGCAGGGAACTTTGCTAATGGGTAGAACATGTTTTATATTGCTAAAATACATGCTTAAATTCTTACCCACTTTACCTGTGACCAGGACTTGTACCATGCATACAAGTTTAATGCTTAGGCCAGATTAAAACAAACATGTGAAGTCAAAGAATTGATTAGAGTTTGTTTTTCAGATAAGCAAGAAACTAGAACATCCCAGGACAGCTACCATTACTCCATCAGAGAAGACCCATTTTAGGGTCATCCTCAGCTCTGATGAAGTTGAAGATGATGATGATGTGAAAGATTCTGTCTGTACAGTACTGAAACCTGAGCCACGAACTCATCCTCTGCTTAAGCAGATGGATTCCAAAGATTCTCTTGCTTCTGCAATCATAGAACCTCAAGATCCGTTGCCATTAGATGCTGATCATCATTCCAGACTGTTAGTCGACCCTTTACCAGAAACAAAGCCGATAGCAAAAACTGACTCTCCTTCAAAAAAGAAAGGTATATAATAAAACTGTTGATTCTTTCCTTCAGTATGATCTGCCAAATTTGAGACCACCGTGGAAAAAGTATAATTTGCCTTTTCAGTTTTTCATATTTAAAATCTTATTTGACTAAAACTATAATTAAACTCTTTGATTTATAAATGCTATAAATGAGCCTGAATCTTCCACAATTGTGTTTGTATTTAATGTGGCTGGTCAGCTTCATTTTAGTAATCTTAATTGTTAAAATTAGCAGGGGTGCACAAGAGAAGTCATCATCAGGGGTCTGACGGTATTTACTTGGAGGACCTAAAGGCTTTGGAACCTGAAGTTGCAGCACTTTACTTTCCCAAAAGGTAATGCTGAGTTAAGGTCCTATGGATCTAGGGTTATATTGTGGTTGCACTATGTGAGTTATTGCATGGATGGTTTAGGTTTTGATAAAAAGAATTGGACTTCAGGTTTCTAGGCTTTTGTGGAGTAATCAGAACTGATATCATTGTGAAGATCTGTTGCCAGTTTGACAAGAAACACCTTGAAAGATCATGTGGGAGGTAATTACTAACAGTTTTCTTCTTCGTGGAACCTGTATGTTCTGCAAATATAGACAGGAGGGTAGGTTTTAAACTGCACTCTCCTTTTGTGCCAGTACTCTGTTTTGCCATATTGTTAGCTCTAGATTAGCACACATTAGTTGATTTTTACATGCCCTGTACATCTCTCCCTTTTTTTTTTTTTAATATTGGAGAAGACCAACAAAAAAAAAAAATCCCACAAGATCTTCATGCCAGGCAGCTCAGTCTCAAAATTCACTTGTCTTTTTTTTTTGGGGGGGGGTCTATGTTCAGTTATTTTGGGTTTTTTTATGAAATCAAACCATTTTATATTCCTAACGTACTCTCTGAATGCATAGCTGTCTAGGTAGACCTGTGTAAAAATACAGCTTAATAAGGAAGAAGTATCTCTTGGTTTATGTTAAAACTAAAATTGTAAACTTTTCAGTACTTATTGATTGCATTACTTGGGATCAAATTAATAACTCCAACCTTAGATGATAATTTGATATTTTTTATTTAAAAGGCCACCTTTTTTTTTCTATTATACTTTTTCCAAACACACAGTGTTCTAAAACTGTCAAGCAGTGTTGTTTTTCCTCTTATTCTTATTCTGCAACTTTCTGTTAAATATTGGGGAGCATAGTATTATTCTGTAAAACTAGGCTGTAGAAGATCTTATCCTTGTTTAAATCCAATTTTGTTTCAGACAAGGGAAATGTAATTATTTCCCAATTTAGGTGAATGTTAGGAAGGCTGGTAACTGTCAGTCTCTCAGTTATTATGGAGGGTTGGGTGAGTGTGTTTGTATCTGGTTTTTGTTTGGTTTTAAATTTGTTATAGAATGATGTAGTACTTAGAAGAAATGCAACAGCAAGATGTTGGGGTTTTTTTGAGTAATCATATCCTGTGTTCTGTAACCTAAAATCTACACATCTTTTTGCAAGCAAAATACTTACAGAAAACGTGGACTTCTTTTCTTTAGTGATTCTGATCCAGGCTTCAGGCAATGGACCGAGTCAGATACCCTTTCCGGTTCCCAGTCACCTCAGTCAGTAGGAAGTGCTGCTGCCGATAGTGGTACAGAGTGCATGTCTGATTCTGCTATGGATTTGCCTGATGTCACACTGTCTCTTTGTGGAGGTCTTAATGAAAATGGAGAGATTTCTAAAGGTATGAGAAAGACTAAAACATAAACAGTAATAAGGCTCAGGCAGCTAAACAAATTAAGTGGCTTCAATGCTCTCCTTTCCGTCTTGCAAAACTTTGGCGTATTATTGTGCTCATGTTGAGAAAAGGGAATGGATAATCTTTCATTTCCTAAGGTGCTCAGATATTTGCCAAGGAGAAATAGCAGAATTTAACCTCAAATTAATCTTGAGAAGCTTTCTGTCTCCTTTTTTTTACACCACGTATTGGATATCTGACCCAGCAGTATTGTTTCTGGCTGCAATTACTTGCTTAGCCCTATATAAGTCTTTGCAGTTTGTGTTCTTTCGAGTTTTCTGATAGTTTTTCTCTTTTTTTTATTTTTTTAAGCAATTTTAAGAAATTTATTGGATTTCACTATCTTTTCTCCTGTTCTGTTTTTTCTGCCATAAGTGTTTGTTAACCTTTGGATTTTTAACAGCTGATTCTTCTCTCTTAATGCTGTGGTTAATTTTAATATTGAAGTTGAGTGCATTTTTGTGGGAGCTTCTAGGAGCACGTAAGCTTGGTGAACATCTACTGCAGCATTTTTAGTGTTACCTTTTTATGGCCATCCACTCTAATGCATCAAGTGTAACTTAAATGTGTATTATTAAGACCCAGAACAGTTCTCTTGGTAATGTGGTGGTAATAATCGTTTTGATTTGAAAAAATTACATCTTCCTTGCAGGGATCTTACACTAAATCATGAATTTCTGCAAACTTGCATAGTCACTAGTCATGAAAATGCTATTAGAAGTCAGTGATTAAACCTGACTGCTGACAAAATACTTTGGCCACCCCTTTTTAGTGTAGTGTGTAGGCCTCTTACCTGCCAGAATAATTTTTAAAGGAAACTTGCTTAGACAAGCATGGCTGTGTTTTAACAGCCTGCAAACTGAAGTAGTTCCTACCTCCTCCTTATCCTCCCTGTTCTCATTCCTTAATTCTCATTACTGTGACTGCTGAAGTGACACGAGGCTTTCCCTGTTACCGAGGAGGCAGGTGCAAGGCTCTCAGCAGATAGGCTGCATTAGCATATCCTGAGTGATGTTAGAAGATCAACAAAGTCTCTGAAATGACAGAAAGCATTTTCCTAGATACAAACTAATCGGACATGTTAGGATTTTATGTGATTATTTTTAATTAAAATCTGCTTCTCTTGCAGAAAAATTCATGGAACATATTATTACTTATCATGAGTTTGCAGAAAACCCGGGACTCATAGACAATCCTAACTTGGTAATAAGGATTTACAACAGGTAAATTCTCTATATCATGTAATTAAGTCATATGAGATCGTATTTAAAATCCACCCTTCAAAGTGAATGTATTTCTCAGCTTACGTCATAGTTTGCATGTTTGATGGATTTGTTTCTCAAAGATAATTATTTTTGAACTGAAGATTTGCGTTAAATGTAGCTTAACTGAAATGATAGTTTTTCAGAAGTTACCACTGATGCTGAGTTGTATATATTAAAATAATTCTGCTTGGAGAAAACTGTAATATTAGTTGTTGGCAGCAAGTAGAAATTTTCATGAACCAAAGGTGTGTTTGCACATTGCTGTTTCTTGACCACTAGTTGGGTTTTGTAATATCTTATCAATAACGTGTTTTAAAACAGATACTATAACTGGGCGTTGGCTGCTCCAATGATTCTGAGTTTGCAGGTGTTTCAGAAGAGTTTGCCTAAGGTAAATGGATACACTTACACTTTCTTTAAGATCTTGTATTTAGTAAAACATGATTATCTCTTTATTTTGTTATTCTATATAAATTTAAAAACTTGCTTAATTTTTCAGGCTACTGTTGAGTCTTGGGTCAAAGAGAAGATGCCAAAGAAGTCTGGAAGGTGGTGGTTCTGGCGCAAGAGAGAAAGCATGACTAAACAGGTGACTGAGACCTATTTTGATTTTTTTTTTCTCTTTTTTTTCCTTAGATTTAAAAGTTGTAGTTTCTCAGAAGTGGCTTGGAACTCAACTCATGTAGATGTGGCTGCTTCTGTATATTTTGTCTTCACTACCACATCTTTATTTGCTGTTATTAATTGCTTTAGCAAAATTTATTGTATTTAACTGTTGCACTATATTCTTAAGATTCTTTTTTCTAAGCCGTAAGCAGTTGTCAGAGCTACATTTTGTTCACTGCAGTATGTTTTAGGAATGGATACACAAATAACTAGGTGCTGTGCTGTATAACAGATGTTATGCTGAGACACCCCATTTTAGACTAAATTAAGCTTTCTAAATGTTGGGTATGTGCCTTAAATTTACTTCCTCACCAAAAAAAAAGTTAATTTTATAAGCTCAGAGGTTGACAACTCCTTTAATGCGTCGTGTTAAACTAGCAGTTCTTACCTTCTGGCATGCAGTTTTGTTTCCGGAAGTAGTAAAAAGCTTTAATAGATAATTTCTTCATAAGCATTCCTTTTGTTAAATATAAAATAAAATAAATATGAAATAAATATAAATAAGACTTATTATGGTTTATGTACTACATTGATAGCTATATGCTTAAGTATGAACTATGAATTCCCTTGGATCAGTTTTAAGGGCTTAAAATGTTAATACGTTTGTTTATTATCATGTTGCTTTAGATACCAGAGACAAAAGAAGGAAAACCTGAGACACAAAGAGCAAATGAACTGCCAGCAACTATAAAAGAGCAAGTTAATAGTAGGTGTGTTCCTGTCTGAAGAATATTTTGTCGACTGAATAGTGGCTCCTTGCCTCTCCTTGCCTCTCCTTGCCTCTCCTTGCCTCTCCTTGCCTCTCCTTGCCTCTCCTTGCCTCTCCTTGCCTCTCCTTGCCTCTCCTTGCCTCTCCCTGCCTCTCC